AATATAAAATCATATTTTCTGAAACATACTTTCAACAATGTAATCCACTTATACAAATGAAAGATTTTCCATTTTGCTAATTTCACGATGTTATGTATTTTTGGAGATTGTGTACGATAGGTGCAGTTCGATGCATTCAAATTTTTCATAATTGCATAAAAATCCGCAGTCTTTTAGTAACAGTTATAACGTTTTCTCAATCTGTCTGAGAAACCGGAAATAATGTGATAACTGTTTTTATCCTTCGTTGCAACGTAATGATGAAATAACATTTATATATCAAGTTTGAGTACAAATGAAACATGGCCTCCCGGCTGTAGTTTCAGTATAAATTTGAATGATTAGTAACACGATAACGTGTGTGACGAGAGAGACGAGTTAAGAACTGGATATAGCCGTCTTTCCGAATTTCGAATTCTACTTATTTGCGTAACAGCCAATTCGCATAATTACTTCGGTCGAGATCTCCACGCGGCAAGTTTCAAGTTTGGATAGATTCATTTAAACTAACATAGCTGGTTACAAGAAAAAATCTCGAAAACTCTCTCGCTCTCGGCAAACCTTAAACCGCAGGAGCTGCGTAATTCATGGACTTTAGATTTTATATCGGCTTAGGAAGTTGCCGCGCGAGAGTTTCGAATTCTAAAATCTGTTAACTTTCCTGGGATCCTTCCCGACGAAGTCTGAAAATTGAAAGTCCACGGCTCCGAGGGACTCGATTGTTCCACGAAGTAACTATGCAAGCGGTGGCGAGCAGATAAACTTCGAGCAATCGGAAATCAGAGTGCCAATTGTGCGAGAGGATTACTAATAATTTTTATGATAAGTCTCGAAGAAATCAAACGGAAGACCTCGTAGGAGTTAGAAATTCTGAAAAAGATATTCAAATCTTTTTTGCCACTCTGTTTCATTGATAATTATAAATATGCACGTTGTAGCAGCATAAATTATCTCAAAAGTATGTCGGGCCAGTGACTAATTAGGTAATGAATAGATCGATGTATATAAGTCGAATTGCGTGTCAAGCGAAGAGAGTCAGATATTGATCGTATAAGAGGAAACACGTGCAATCAAGTGGAGTGAATTGTAATTTGGGACTATAATGGATATCTCCCAGATTGTTGTGATGAAGTCGTACTGATTAGAAGAAATAAAGGGTAGTATAAGACTGGCGTATATTAAAAGTAGTGTGAAGTATCCGTAACAACATTATATTCTATCTTTTTGTATATTATTGGTTCTTCGATTTTAGTTACATAAAAACGAAAGTGCAGGCCTAGGGATTACAGTATTAAGAATTGGATTGTAAGAAATATTGTGAAAGAAGGAAGTCCACGTAAAACCAAAGGCAAGGGTTAATAAACCAATAAATAAATAAATAAATAAATAAATATTAATTATAATATAAGTATGTACGTTTGTACCGGTGATGGTGTGATTAGGTTACCCACGCTTCGGCACATGCATACATATATTCAACGAATGAACGACCGATTTTCAACGAGTCAGAACTCGGAACCATGAATGGGCAGCGGGTCTCGTTGTTCTTACGGAGTCGACCGAGGCCGTGGTCGGGACCGGGCCACGCCACGACATTCTCTTTTTTTTTTCCCTCCTCGCTTTCGTAGATGCTTGGCGCCACACCAGGGACGCCGGGTCGGCGTTGGTTTTCATCTCGGTTCAAACAAAAAAGGGAACTGAGGAACGTCTACTCCGGGCCGGAAGATCGTCTTTGAACCGGTTTTTGTGAGCCATTCTTAAAAGCATCGAAAATATTTAGGGAACCGTACCGAGTCGACGCTCTTAAAGATATGCTAATTACTGTTTCATAGTGAATATCTTGTACGAGGAACAAGATTACACGTTCTAAACACGGCTCTTTTCTTTAAAGATATTGTCGCAGTCACACATAACTTATAGAAAACTCAGATCAAAAGAAGTAATAGCATGATATAGAGAAGATAGTCTGACTATACATTTGCGTGAACATTAAATTAGATAAATCTCGTGAAAATTTGTAATGTCACATGTAATTCATTTTCGAAAACTCAGATCCCAGAAAGAGTCATAGGATAATGTAGAGCAGACTGTCTGATTAGAATTTAAAAGCAATAAAACGTATGTTATATGGAGTAGCTGTTTGTTTTTGTTAAAAATATTAGATTAGAGAAATCGCCTGCACTAAAATCACACGTATCTTGTTTTAGAAACCTCAGATTAAGCGAAATAATAAGATGATATACATCAACCAGTCTGACTCTACATTTGCGTGTTAGATTAAAACAGTAAAATGTATATTACACGGAATAACTGTTTGTTCTTGTTAAAAGATTAGATTAGACAAATCGCATGAAAATGACTGTAGACAAGTGAAGAGCAAGAGTACAACGTAGTTAGTGTTCAAGTTATTCCCCTTGGTCAAATGTTTTCAACTGCAGCTTAACTTTCGTTGGAACTTGGAAATAATTCAAAGTTTCCAACGTGGCAGCTCGTGGCTCGAATTCTACGCGTTGGTTCCAAATTGGAGAGAAGTGAGGTGCGAGCTTCACGGTTGCGATTTCTTAACAGGAATGGGTAACTGGCATATCTATTATCGAATTGTTCTGTCCTTTCAATTTATTACATTTAATTGACTCGATTTACACGAAAATTGTATATACACTATATGTGAATTAAAATTATATTATATACGCATAATATACATATGTATATGAATTAATCGATGATTCAAATATGTTGAAGTATAATTGAAATAATTAAAAATCTAAAGAAGGGACGAGTTAATCTCTTGTCGTTTTCACCTCCAGATCGTAACTCGACACTATTTGTGGTGCACTTAACAGTTAACAGAAGCGCCTCTTCTGCACAGGCAAGGCTTTTGTCCGTTGCCTCGAGACGACTGGGCGTGACAAGTTCTCCAACAAAAGTAACCCGAGAAACCTATTAAATCGGCCTTTCGAGTGAGAACCTATTAAATCGGTCCTTCTTCTTTTTTCACCTTTCCTCTCTTACCCTTTTCTTTATTTTTCGCCTGTTTTCGACGCGGATGACGCCGATCTTTATACCATTTTTAGCGATCGATTTATACATAATCTCGTAGAAAATTTCACATTTCTGGATTCGAATGATTTAATTTTTTCTCATGTTGGCTCTTTACCTCATTTTTATCAGTCGATTTGTACATAATATTTGGAAGGAAATTTCATCTAATCCTTTTCGGTGATAAATATATTTCCTTATATCACGTATGAAGTAATTGTTCAGTCTTTACGTAAATGGTTATTGCAGCTGATTATTTTGAAATAGTAGGTGACAACTTTGATTCAATCCTTAATCTCAACCTCTTTTCAAGCATGTTGGCTCTTTATGACGTTGTGAAAATGATAACGTGTCATATGTGCACAATTGCTAACGTACTATCGATATGGTCATGTGGTATTTGTGGGCGTAATAGCTTGATTCTGAACTTGGTATACAATTCGAAACATCGTGTTAAACGCGACCGGAACTCGGAATGACTTTATTACGTGCTAACAGCCATTCACGTATCAAGATTGTCCTTCGATAAAGATTCAATCATTCAAATTACAAAGAAAACTAGGAAACATTTATTACACAAAGTGTGCAGTTGTATTATTAGTTAAAGGTAATGTATTTATCTCTAATAAAGTAAACACATATATTTATAGCAACAAAGCTAACAGGCTTGTAGACTTTTAGCTTTATTGAAAATTAAAATGAAAATGAAACATGTTCGTTTTCATGTATTATGAAAATATATTTTTAATACAAAAAGCATTTAGCTGATGATTAGACTGCAGATTTTAATTCGAAATAAAGCTCTTGCGATATGAATTTTATAAATGAAATCTAAATTATATTCCTTTATTCTGAAAAATAATGGTACACACTTGAGTCTAAAATATTTTGACGTATCACATATATGTTTTAGATTTTCTATATGTCAATTTTTTCTTATTGCTGTATAAAATCCGTGATTCAATGATTAACACTTGTCCATTTTGTACTTGGCTGAGTTGAGTCGAATAGACGTTCGTTATTTTCGACGCGTCGGAGAGGAAGGCCTTTGGGTCTCAGGCTCCTTTTCAATGTAGATGACTGAAGCCTCGTGCTCGTAAATATTTATCCGTTTTGTGGGCGTGAAGAGACAATGCGCGTCGAGTCGAATTAGCAAACCGTACTGGAGAACCCCCGTGCACTCGCAGGATAGGTTGCTTTGTAATTAGAGAACAATTATGTATCCCGATCGAAGAAAATTACAGCGCACGGAGGAGGCCCGGTTACGCGATGCCCGATGCCATCACCCGGAAATATCGATTCCATGTAACGCTATTATGCGAACCGAATGGGTGTATCATTAATTTCATTATTGTAGGCATACATGTACTGGTATACTAAGGAATGTGTACGTCATATCATATCATAAGGCCTAAAGTCAATCTATTATACAAATATTTGTTATTATAATATTCATCTAAAAACAGACGATAAAATAAATTTTTTAAATCTTTTTGTGTCAAACATAAACCGAATGCCATAATGACATTTATTATTAATATAGTGTGAATCAGTGAGATAACCAATTAACGATAAAATTTTAATCGATGATTAGACTACTCTTTAATTAAAAATTAAAATTCAATAGTGAATTCGAACTTCTACTAATTAAAAATGAAAATTTAATCTTTGTTCGAGAATTAAGAATTAAAAATTAAATTTCAATCTCCAGTCATAAGGAAACCTCAATTAACGACTAATTAGTCAGACTTGAATTAAGATGTAAATAAACTGAAAGGTTTGCTCTTTCGAGATATTAACGTGCGGGTGTATTCACTATTCGAGTTGTTACGTTCTTCAGCAGTCGGCCTAGTTATTATGTTCTTCAACGCATAGAAATATTACAGAATTATTTTGCCTCCCAGGCAATGATATAGTAAATAAGAACATTAGGAAATGAAATTACAAAGCGTTGGACTTACCTCTGACGTTCGGTCGATGAAGCCGGGCTTGAGGAAAGATCTGCAGAATAACGATGATCGTTTGGAGCATCAGTGGATAAAGCATGGTTTTGGTCAGATCGGGAATCCTCTTAAGAGTCCTATATATACTATTTTACAATAAGTGGAAGCAAGTTTCTCTTTACGCCGTTAGCTGCAACAAACATAATACACGTATTGTTAATTAAGTTGAAAAGTTGCATTTACAAAAATATCAAACGTACTATACGACGTATTATATTATTACATAGTATCTTAATAATTCTTTCTAGTATCAATAATCTCTTATTTCCATATTTTATACTACATTATAATGTACAACCTCAATACTATACTATTCTACTATATTATAATAGTTTATTTTTATACTGTATTATAATAATGAAGTGGAATTAAATAGAATAGCCTACAATCCTGTAGGATGTTTCTGCAGCAGCTTTAGCCTAAATAAGGTATGAACCTTGTTACGTGAGGTTTTCATGGTCCAGCAAGTAACGTTCGGTAGTTATGGTAATCGGATTTGGCCGGACCATACTCAGCCTCATAATTGGGCTCGACAACCGTGCCGACCCTTTCTCACAGTTTCCACCTATACCAGGGCACCTTTTAGTCGGATTTAACGGTCCCACTGATTTACGGGAGACGTCGAATTCGATAGCGCGGATTGACGAAATAGCGGTACAAGATAAAAGTTATCTCTCTATTTCTCGCGGAAACAACAAATTCAATGACTGACATTCCGTATTTTTTACAATTGTTAATTCCAACCATTCAAGCAGATCAACATTATTTTTTGTCACGAGGATTAAATGGACTACATTGCCACCTTAACACCGGATCCATCACCTCTTTTTGTGCGTACACTTCTCTATTAAAAACCAGCCGGTTTTAGTAGTGTTAATCATCGTGAAACGCGTAGAGGAGATTATACGCGTATAAGAAGAGTGGGTAATATAACATAAAGGAAACGGCGGGCAACCGGCTCTGGCACTTGTTAATTCAAAGCGAATACAGCATGCGACATGAAAAAAACACAGCCGACTTCGAAATGGACTGGTAAGAAGCGTAACGTGCAATTGGCAGCGTTGCAGTCGAACAAATACGATATTGTAAAAGTTTCACTTGTAGAACGAAACTGTAAAAAGGCGCGGTCTGTAATTGGGGACAGCGTGCAGAAATAAATGTTAATTGCCGTGCAGGCTCAACAAAAGGTACCCGAGTTGTTAATTACTGATTCTGTAGACAGCGAGGGAGAGGGAGAGAGCGGCTGGCGAGCAGGAAGCAGGAGGGGAAGGAGAAAGAGAGTTAATCAACTGACTTTGATTTTGCGAAACCCTTTCGGCAGTCCGTTTCATAGGGCGGTGGCTGCGAGCCTTGTGTGAGAGCGGCTAATTAGAACAAGAGTCGATCGTGCGTGCTCCCGCTGAATTTCGAATTAAGCTCACGGCCCACGGACCTTTATCGAAATCGATCGAAGAATCGGTGGAAAAGATTTAATCGATCGGAATTAATCATCGAGGCCTTCATTTGCAGGAAATAGTTTATGTAGCAATTATACAGGAAATGTATTTAATATGACTTGAACAGACTTCAGGTCTGATACCTAAATGCACATACATTTGTTTAAGTCTTTCAACCTTTTACCTTCTAGGCAGTCTTCTGGAAACAGTGTGCAGAAATATATGAGAGTTTTTCTTGGAAACATGAAATTGTAAATGTAATAGTACTACTTATTGTATTTAGTAAATCTTTATCTTTGTAATTATTGTTGTAACTGATATTGTTATTGTTTTCCAAATAAATAAATACTAAAGAACTGTGTGCATTACTTGGAAAATTTTTAACTCATCTTAACTTTATCATCATAATTTTATTACCTTTTCTTCTTATAAATTTATGGGTTTCTACACATTTTAAATATTTTATTGCTCTCGTTTCTACTCACTGGCGTATTTTTCTACAATTATATCGTTATTACAAGATGTTGTACACTATTAGTATATCTACATATGTATATTGAATCATATGCTCGCTGAATGTGCGTATAAAATCTAATTAAAAGGAAAGCCTTAGATGAGTGTCATAAAATCCAATGTATGAGTATAATACCCATACCCTTGATACCCTAACGCTCATCAGTTTATAAACCGAGGGAATCGAGGACGTACACGATCCAACGATTTCTGGAACAGAGAACAATTTTCATAACGATAATAGAATGCCCGTCGCGTCGCAATGTTAATCGACGTGTTCAGTGAGCTGAGATTCAATCAATGCCTGGTTTGTTGTATGTACGTACTCCGCGATTCAATTTTTCCTCCAAATCCCCTTTCACTCGCCAATTGTACGCGACAACGAACAAGCGTTCCGTTGACATCGAACGTAATAAAATTTTAACAAACTTGATTACGCGAGCTAATCGGAATACGCGAAGTCGCATGGGTATTCGGACGGTTCATTAAATGATACTCCGATGATCGAATTTTCTATTAATCGACGTCTCATCGATATAATTGATCGTCCTATTAATCAGTAGTCCGTTAATCGAGGTACAAAGTTCTAAATGTTTTAAAACAGCTTCCCGTCGCGTCGTCCGAATTAAGTTGTCATGTCGATCATGTAACAAGCCGCGCGAGGCAAGCACATCGCGTCGTTTTAAGAGATTAATGGATTCGGGTGTCACTCGAACTCGATGAGAAATTCTCCTAGATCTTCGCGCGAATATCTCTCTCGTCTCCCTTGCGTCGTTTCGGAAAGTACAATGAATTTCAGTGAGGAAATTCTTCGCGAAGATCAGATCTTGGCTAGTTTGAAATCTCATTCACGAACTTTGTCTTTAGTGAATTGACTGAAAACGCGCGCATTTATGTTGAATTCGTTAGAAACGAAGTGAGAGGCATCGGAAATGCATACCCAGACGCAAATGTTGCACGAATCGCGTGGGTGACTTCGTACATCGTAGAAAGAACGTGAGTGGAGAGAAAAGCAGGAAACGACTATCGGCTTTTCCATATATTAAACTGCTGACGTTAATACATCTATATTTCTAATAATAACTACATAAACTTGTTATTTATTTCACGTGTTAAAAAACTCTTTATAGAAAAGTGAGCAGCAGAATTAAGGTAGTGGATTATAAAAAATGTTAAGGTCGATAGTTCATATTTATACAATTTCGAGTGATTATGCGATGTGAGAAAATATAAGTGTAGCTAACAATAAGTATGTCATTAATGGAATCGTTGAATATATCGAATAAGTGATTTAATTTATTGGCTTTCGAAGCTGCTCTGGTTGTGACACTGCCCGAATCTGGAAGTGAATCTATCAAGGTAGAGAACGTTGACCGGTCTTACAATTAGACTTCGTATAGATTGCAAATCGTAGTTCTTTTATCTCTTGATTTCTGATCAATAGGACATCTTTTTAACACCGAAATACGTATAGTACAACTCTGACGCGTTTTGTGTATTAATGTCTGCATGTTCATATATCAACAACAAACGATCCGATTTCGATGCATTTTTTGTTTCATTTAGAATATATTTTTCCGGGAAGATTTTATCCTTAGGGATAATATTTTAGAGATTCACCTTAGATCGTATCTCCTTGCGTTCTTTTACTATACTCTTGAACTAAGCGAGCTTCCGCGTTATTTCTTCGGGTGTAATGAAGATGCTCGGTCGAAGATGAAAGCAGGAGTTTAATTAATATCGATGAAACGTAAAAAGAGGGATGGACTGTGCCTTCGGCAATGATAATAAAGTCACTCTGTGTCAGACTACAATCGCGATCCCGTACTTTATAATCCCCCTTTCAACGGAACTTGATCAACTTATCTGTGCTCCGCCTTACGCTTCACCATACTTCTCTTTTTTACTCGGATATCTTCCCGTCGGGTCGTAAAAGCTCGTTTCTCAGCCGTGCTTTCCCCTCCCGGTCCTCGCGTGCTCTTCGACTTCGCCGGTCTCACCGCCGAATATACACGCAAGATCGCGAAATTTTTATATTAATTTACGCGCAACCAATTTAAATTACCGTGTAATACAATACGTACCTGGCGGCGGACGTGTAATTTACGGGCCAGAGATACGCGGGAACGAAAAAGTGTACCTGCGACGCGAGGAACAACCGCGAAAAACTGAGATGCACAGCTAGCTACTCGAAAGCGATGCAAACAGAAATTTATTCTTTCCGCGTTTTCAGGCTATGATGAACCTGTATGAACAACTCGATAGTAAACGTCAGGATTCATTTATACTATTTAAGGAGTTTGTAACGTCATGAAGGAAAAATGAAATTAAAATATGGAACTATTTCTTAACACGTTAAGCGCGGAGCCAATTTTGTTGTGCTTTCCATTCAGCTGGATATTTACATATTAGCAAAATTTAGATATCAAAGAACATTCGAGATTGAGATGTTTGGCCATTATCAACTTACGGGAACAATCAATAACGTTAAGAGAAACGTGACTGTCTCTCGCAGAACCGTAGATTACAATTTAATTTTTGTCGATAGGCTCCTAATTATATGCACGTAAACGATCCCAGGTAGAGCGCGGCGATGTTTTATTTATAGCAAGTATTAGTCGGACAGAGTGGAAAATTGTCGACGCGATCGGAGGGTAGCAATTATATTACATGTTAACGATAATTTAAGGACAAGCGGAGAAAGCGGAGGGCATTACAGGATGTCCTGTTCGTGTACACGGTCCGGCTTAACGATTTAATAATTGCCCGGTTACTTACGGTATTCGGAAGAACGCGGCCATTAACTGCGATGTAATTGCTCCCGGATTCGACATGCGACTTGGTACATTTCACGGTAACTTACACCGTTCGTTAAGATGTCACAAAACGATTGATTCGCCTTAACACGACTCCCAATGTTTGAATAAAGTCCTCTTATAAAAATTATTATATTTGAGTCATCTTAACAAGATTCTCCAATATTTGAACGAAATCCTCATATAAATGTATATTTATAAAGATGAATATAAAAAAATATTACATTTATTATGCGTACAGAATGACAAACGAAAGCTGTTATTTATACTAAGGTTGTATTTATTAGATAGTTATATTAAAATATTTTGAAAGAATAATTTATTGCTTGCTAAAAATATCAGGCAATTTAATAAACTGTATGAAACTTTATATAAATTATCTTTCAATGAAATAGAAGGATAATCAATTATTTCATATTACTGCTTCTATCGATTCACTCTGTACACATGAAATATAAATTCTTGCTGCAGATATTGACTCTCCAATATTTGAATAAAACTGAATAATTGTATTAAAAGTTTTAAAAATTCGAGGCAATTTAATGAGCTGCATGAAATATGAAATTGTGTGTACAGCATTTTTTAATGAAATAAAAGAATAATAAATTATTCCATTGATTCATTCTGTGTACACGAAATAGAGATTCCTGCTGAGATATTCGTCGCGCGTTCTTTATCTCGAGCCGAGACGTTCAGCTTGCAGCCGCGTCGGGTCATTAATTGCCGGAAAAATCACGGAGACGGCTCCCGGTATCGCGTTGCGGAGACTCACAATCGGAGGGATGCCTCAGCGCACCTAACACCGTACCCAGCTTTGGAACGCGCAAAGATACTCTGATCCACAAGAAATTTTCCGCGGAAGGTTCCACACTCCAATTAACGGTGAGGATTCGTGTTAAAGAGCCGCGTTCCACCGTCCCGACTAAACGGATCTGTAAAACGAACGAAGAATGTCCGCTCGTCCTCTAATTACCTCGCGATCATTTCTTCGCTCTTGAACAATATCTCTCGTTTAACGGACTGAGATAATCGATGGTTCTTATTCTACTGGGTCGGAGGAAAAGTTCTTTTACAAATTAAGACATAACTGAAATACGTTTGTCTTAGTTGTTTACTGAGCTTCTGTCTGTTATCAAATGGGTGTCGTTTTATTTGGTGAGCTTCTGCGATTTTTTGGTTAAAGCTAATTATTCGTGTATTCATTATACAGTGTAGAACTTGTGGGTTTCTTGGAAAAATAGGAATATATTTGTAATTGAATATATTTATAAATAAATGAATTGATGTTAAGTTTACTCCATTAATTTATTCCTCCATTGCTTATTCCATTTTCTATTACATCTTACAATTAGTGAGATTACTCTAGTAACAGTATACATATACGTTTTTATTGACCAGGATATACTTTTGTTTACTAAAAAATGATGCAGCCTTTGCGCTTCCGGTTATTGGATAGATATGTCAAGTGGCGTAACAGTTCCGTCAGTGGCCTCGACTGTGTTGAAGAGGTTTCGGAAAAATAAATGATAGAAGAAATGGTAAATGAATTGCTGCGATTGAGTAAAAATCCGTTTTCCACTCTGTTATAATGAAATTTCTGGAGAAAATTTGATGGACGTCAATTTTAAAAGAAATTCTCTATGATTCTATTTCTAAGTGATTGCAGTATGGCGAAACATATTTGAAAAGTTTTATTTAAAATCTAATTAAAATCCGCAGTGTATTCATAATTTTGCATCCAGTTAGAATTAAATTATTGCCATAATAAAATTATATTGAACGTCGATTTGAAATAGAATCATATAACTTTAAATAACATCATGTGTCAAGAACTTCTTACATAAAATCAAATAGAAGTAGTTTTTAAATATTTATGTATGAAAATCTTCTTTGAAACAGCATTACGTGAATAGAAGCCGTCGAAATATCTATTTCCTAGATTCAGTAAGTTATGCTAAGTTTAGTTATGATTCTTTTGAAAAATACGTCTTGCGAATGGGGCGAAAAATCCAATATAAAAGTGTCACCAATTTTTCACACAAATTTCATTAAAATGGATGAATGAGAAATTACCAAATTTATATTTGAGAAAAAATAGGATACAGTTATTCATCTAATTTCTCAGTGCACCAGGAATATTAATCTAGTCTTTATAATTCACAAAAGGAACATGTATGTTTCATTAAAAAAATGTTTGACTATACAACAGATTAAAAATATTGAAACAATTTAAAATTCATTGATTCAGAACGTGTTATTATTGATAATATTTACGTTCTATCGCATATTCTGAACGGACCAGAATGTCGTATCGTCGAATTAAAATGTAATCTCGTGGCCGTAAAACATTAACGCATAGACAGTAATTACAACCTTTTCCAGGTTAAATGATACCCTCGTTAACGCGTCGTCGATCCAGGGTTCTCTCATTTTTATTGTTCCTCGGTAACAAGGTAATCCGAGCGATCACTAAATAAACGAATTATGAACAGGCAGTCGGCAGCCGACGGCAGCTGCCTTCCGCGAAATTAATTCCGCGCGCACGAGGACATCCATAACTTTATCGATGATTTTCGGATCTCTGATTAATCGCGTGGCCCCGTGGCGCAACGCAACGACACACATCGACACTTTTACAAGCGATTTATCACGCAGCCCCTCGAGGAACTCGCGGAACTGCTTGCTATCAATTTTAATCCGACAATTCAGAGGACAAAAAAAAATCATGGTTTCGATGTTCCCATGCCAATTCTTTACCTTTTTTTCTTCTCGAATATTTCACGAACTCCAGTCACCAACTTTTTGAAGAACGAGTGCAAAATATTATTTGGAACAAATTATTTATATGCCTATTCCAATATACTAAATTATAATAATAAACATAAAACTCCATCATATAATAATGAATTGAAGTTTTGAAGCGAACCATCAAATATTTAAATATAAATCAAAAGTGTAGTTAAATTTGCGGGGACATAAGCAAGTTTATTGAGTTATTTACCGCGGGTCAAAAGCAATCTGGCAATAAAGTCGAGGGCGAAGCGGGCATGTACGCTCGAAATTGTTAACTGAATTTGCATTACAACGTGAATAGAATTAAACGTGATTTCGTTCATAATAATTCAACGTGGTCGTTGTAGCTTATCGCAATTTCAACTTCGTTGCACGCGATGGTTAATGCAATCCAACAACTTTTATTGATAGTTTACCGCAATTAATTTCGTATTTTGTAAAACGCTGCTTTCAACGAGTAAAGATGGACATCCGACGGGTGGATGGTAGAATATCAGAATACAATGAACCATCATTTATCTGGGTTAATAGAAAGGCAATTCTATATCTATAAATGTTTTTCAAAAAAACTGTTTTACGTTTTTTTAGATATGCATGTTATTACGTATAATTATGTATAATACGTTATTAATATCATAGAATGATTCAAGCAGGTCTATTTTCTGTTTAATCGGATAAATTAAAGACTGTACTGAAATTTTAATTAGAAAATAATAATTTGATAGTAATTTCTATATCTATAAATATTTTTCTAGAAGTCTGTTTTACATTTTCTTAAATATGCATATTATGTATAATTGCATATAGTATGTTAGTTATTTAGATATCATGGAATGATTTAAATAGATCTATTTCCCGTTTAACCGGATAGATAATGTACTACAATTCTAATTAGAAAAAAGTAATTTGAAGGACAATTCTATTTCTATGAATATTTTCCTGAAAGCTGTTGTACATTTTTTAAAATACGTTATCATGTCTAACTGCATATAATAAGTTAGTTATTGGTATCATGGAATGATTTAAATTCAAGCAGGCGTGTATTCCGTTTATTCGGACAAATTGAATATTACATTGCAATTCTAATTAAAAACCAGTGATTTGGAAGACAGGTTGATACTTACACCGTCCGTCGAATTGTCGCGTTCTTCCGGCGGTCACGTGGCGGTACGACACTGACGACACTGGTTAAAAAACACCTGCGTGCACAAACGATCGCGGCGAGGACGCGACGCACTGTATGAACTTATGTACGTAGGCATAGTATATCCCGACACTTCGTACGCAGTCTCCCCCGCAATCGCCACCTCTCGGGCAGGTGGCGTTCCTCACAAGCGGCTCTTCAGGATTTCACCGGTCCATCACTATTTGAAGTTCTGATCTGCAGTAAAATGAGAAAGCTCGTGGCTTCCAAAAGCTTCGAAGAACCGTAGGGGTAGCCTCGATAAGATTCAATCGGGGGCTCGACCGTTCTGGGAGAGGGTGGGAAGTGAACAAAATGAAAATTCGAGGAACGAAGTTACAAGGATGGGGTGGGATGAGAAAATAAATATATGGGAACAGGTACTAAAAAAATGAACGTGAGAAAGAGGGATAACGAATAGAAAAAGAAAAGAAGTGGATGATGAAGTCGGCGTAGGTGAGAAGAGATGAACGGAGACGGGGACGAAAACGGAGTGAAATGGAAGGGGCAGTGAAAAGGAAGATAGAGAAAAGAGAGAGAGAGGGAGAGACAGAGAGAGAGAGAGAGAGGGAGGGAAGAGAAACAGAAACGACGAAACAGAAGCGACGGAGAAGTGGTGGTCACGATCGTCGTCGGAACACTAGCGGTCCGATCGGAGTTCGGTGCCGGTGATACACTCTTCTCATACGATGCTACGTAGACGCGGTCAACCTCTCCTCTTCGTGCCCCTGTTCGCCGCTTCCTCGTCTCGTTCCCGCTTCGCGATCGGCCTGGCTCCGAGGTCCTCTGCGTGCTCTGCGCTTCATCCCATCTCCTCCTCTCCTTCCTCTTTCGACACCGTGCGTACACTACCGCTCACAAGTATCAACGCGGTCTCTGCGGTCTCCACAAAAATGTTTATTACCTAAGAAGAAAGATGAAACGTGGGAACGGGCCGCTTATCGTAAATCGCCAAGTCAAATTATTATTTAAACTGAACACACGATTAAAATGGTGATAATAAAATGAAATCCGATCGTTAATTTTTTATGAACGGAACCCTCCTTGGGGAGGTTGAAATAAAAATAGTAACAATTATTAGATTCTAGCTGGTACCAAAGACCCGATGGAGAATGTTGTGAAATAGCTGGATATTAATGGTAATATATTTATGATCGGTAGTGTACGTACGTACGATTCACGGATTACGTGTATCGGAGCACGCGGCTCGATCTCGCCTCTCTTTCCCGCCTCCTTCCTCGGTCACTTTGATCGTGAGAGACAGAGGAAACTCGGTTCCCTCCTACCTAAGACGGGCGCAAAAGCACACCAAGACAGGCCAATCTACTAGGTAAGACTAGTTCCTCCACCCAGTCGTGGTCGTCGTGGACACGTTTTCTGTCGGTCACCCTCCCTTCCCTCTTCCTCTTTCCGTTTTTCTTCCTCTCCCTCTTTCGATCCTCGCTTTCTCTCTCTCTCTCTATCCTCCCTTCTCTCTGTCTCCCCATTCCCCTCTCTCGTGATCAACCTCCTTCTGCCTATCCGTTGTTGCTCTTTTTATTATCTCCTTCTCTGGTCGGTTTCCTTCTCCGTCCTCGTCTGCACGCGGTCTACCTTGTACCCTCTCCCGCCACTTTGGGTTTCCTACTCCTTCCTCTTTTCTGTGTTTTGTTCCTCCGGATCTCGTTGCGCCCGAGGAATCTGTCTCCCTTTACTCTGCTCCTTGCCATGCAACTTTATCTGCTCCAGCACCGCTCGCGCGCGTACTTACGCTTCCTTCCAAAGAGCAAAGCCTTTTCCTCCACGAATCCACTCCTCGTTCCCCGGCGACTTTGATAAACAATTTATATCCGTAGCATTGCAACGTACCCTGTGTATCGCGAGCGAATCGTCGTTAAACTACGTCCACGGTAAAAGGCTCGCGTTTCGACTCTCTCTCTCTTTCCGTAAATCCGCATCTCGTTCCTCAGCGACTTTGACAAACGGTTTATATTTGTAGCATCGCGTTCCCTGTATCGCTAGCAAATCGTTGGTCTACGATAAGGAGCTCGCAATTCGATCCGCGCGTTCTACCCTAATAAATTGTTAGAGAATTAAAGGATTTGAGGGTGCTGCCGGAAATCTGATAGTTCGGTGACAAATTAGCAGAAAAGGAGCGAAAAAGTGTGTAGAAAAAGGGCAAGACACGTAAAGAAGTCGAGGACAAAGCAGTGAAATTCGTTGGGGATAAATCTTGGCGAGCCAGGGAGGTCGAAAGGGTGCGGAAAATTGTGAAAGAACTAACTTTGTTGGTAGACTCCGGATGACTCGTTACCTGGGTAAAAGGTCGCGGGAGACAAAGGCCGAAGTTTCATAAAAGAATGCCGGTTGTGCTTACAACCTAACCGCGCCACAATACAAAGAATAGTAATTTGTTGGCTTGATTAATTTTGCTTGTGTCTCGTTACGACCGCATCTACGCTTAAACTACAAGCATATAGTGCGTGTACATTCCCAGTTCAGAGTAAACTTTTCTATTTAATTTTTCATATGTTTTCAATATAAAATGTTCAAAAATAAAATGTCAGATTTTCAAATTCTTATCAGATTATTTCCTATGAATGGAAATCTTTGCGCTGGTGTCAAATTGGTTGTACGCGGGCCAGGTACATGCTCGAATAAAGACGATCGGATCGCAAGAGAAAAAGAGGAGATTCGCGACGCGCGGCAGATTTATGCGGCGTGCACGCGGTCGACAGCACGCAACTTGTTAACGAGCCGCATGAATTATTTTATCAGCAAAGCAAACGAGAACAAAATTCGAAATAAGGGACGAGCACTTGAACAGTGAACGCCGGAATGAAAGGGAAAGGGAGAAAAATAGTTGACGTGATACGCGGTTCCCACATGAGTAGACATGTATAGTACTTGAAATAAAGGAATATATATTATGTATATATATATTATATACAATAAACATACGTACAAACATATATATTAGGTACATAATTCGAAAAAAGGTAATAAACGAAAAAAGAAAGATTGGCATAATGAGTGTTAGATTGGCACAAGTGCGACGATATAATTGATTAATGAAGTTGCAAGAGAAATTAGCTTATCTTAGGAAAAGGTTTAAGAATTAGCTTATCATTTTGTAAAAGTCACGTTCAAATAAATGAAAGTCCATTGATTATTTTCGAGCTTAGAGATTTATATAATTTATAAATGCGAACGTTATTCGAATTATGAACGGTATCAAGTTGAAATTCGCATTGTAAAGGTAGTAGAGGCGGAGATGAAAGCAAGTTAGCGATACGTTTGGAGCAACCGCGGCGTAACGTGGCACGGAGGGTTAAAGCCGCGTCACAATCGCAATGAGATTGAAATTGAAAGGTATTCGTTACAAAGCGCATCGCGCCACTGCGATATCATCGTGTACGGTGATTGCGTCGAATACAATAGACAATATACAAGCATCAACCGTGCACCGTTGTCACCCATTGAGCTACGCACGTTTGTACGTATAAAGAGAATTCGTAACGCATGCGAGGATATTTGTCTTTGTGCAATAAAAATTCGAATTTCAGTGGCGGTAGTCGACTCGTGCGGAAACGTGAATATTCAGAAACAAAACGTCTGAAGTGCTTCGTCTCGAGTAATCAAATGAACGACCGTCGAGGGCCATCGGATAAAGAAAAACGATTGTTAACGATCGCTGTTTCAGTCACTTTCCGCCGTTTACAAAGTTTCAGCGCGAGGACCGACAAGGGCGGATATTACTTTATCGTGTGACGTTTTAATGCGATTTGAAATATCGCGCGAGCGCATAATAAACGAGCCGTTGCTCCAGTTGATTCTTGCACAGCTGCTGCTGCTGCTGCTGCTGCTCGCCGAAGGTCGTATCGATTCTAAAATTCTTGGATGCTTGTCCCACGCGAACGAGTTTGTGGGACGCGTTCGTAGTATTACTACCTTTCCGCTTGCCCTATTATTCAGAAAATCATTTTCCCCGTCAGTTTTGTATATCTTCCTCCGTGTTTCATTAAACGTAAGCCAATTATTCATCTCATCGATACTTTGACTTGCTTCCTTGAAATTTCGATTTTATTTTAATATCTCAATCTCAGAATAATGGTAAACATAATATATTGCGTTTAGATTTCAATTTATACATGTTGGGGTATTTGAAACAGATCACCCGGATAACTCACTTGTTTTTGAAGATAGAGGAAAATGCATTAGACCGATCTTACTTGGTATCGAGGGGCTCGTAATCTGTTGCTATTAATTTTTCTATAGATGGACGCGCCAAAGAGATATGAAGATCAACTCTGTTTTTTTAAATTGAATGCTATGGTTTTTTACTTACAATCTGGCAGAGTATTTCAAGACGAATACAATGACCAATTATGAAAGTCATTCAAGATCACCCTGTATAATTGTCATCCCACTGTATAATTATGAATCTCTGTAGTATTATATGTGTCGAATTATTTTTATTAATCTTATATACTTTATTATAATATCTTAATCTCTATTTTTCATGTAATCATTGTAAACATTGCGTTTATATTTGAATTTATATTACACAAATTTTCTGTAGGATGTGTCGAAATATTTTTGTTAATCGCCGTACTTAAAGATAAATTGGAATTTGTGATTACTCTGTTATAAAGTCACTCGGAACAGGATTGTTTCAAATGTATTGAAAGAATTTCGACAACCGAGCGAATCGCGTTACCCTATTTGCAAGTATTTTACAGTCGATCGATCGCCGGTGCTCGTTTTATGTAGGAACGAACGGCGGCGCACGGGCGAAGCGAAGGAGTGAATGCATCCTAACGGCTGACGGATACGGTCCGATAGACTCGATCAAACGTACGCGCCGCGCGCCGTGCCGACTGCCCGGGAAGTTAATTCAACGTTATGGTTGATCGTTTATCATACGCGAGAGAACGAATCCCGGCTGGATTTTCGTTACATTTTGTCGATTCGAGTTCGAAGCCGACTTCGGCCCGGGTAATTCCCTCCGGCCCACGCCGCTCCGCACCCGCCGTTTTCATTTCATTTATTCGCATTCTTGTTCGTAAATCAATTCGCGCATTAGTCTGGCAAATTCCTTGCTGCAAGGGAATTAAATATCTTCACGCCTCACCTATTCCTAGACCAAGACTTACGAACAATTTTAATTGCCTTCTGTTACGATGGCCCTAAAAGATTTTATTACCTTTTTATATTTCGTAGTTGATCTAAGCTCATGTTTTTATAAATTACTGTAAAAACAATATTTATTTTTATCTAAAAATTGTCTCGTAAAAAGGTAGGTAGTCGAAGTGTTGATGTTTGCAGGAGATGATCAGTCTCGAACGGTAACGGGGAAGAGAGGCTGAGTATCCTGCAATATCAGGGATAGTAGTTTGAGACGGTAATGGAAATCAATGCAGAGTAACTCGTAAATAGAGACGTGATTGGCGAAATCGTCAGCTCGTCAAACGTTAGTCCCCTGATTGCCACGATTTAAGTTTAATCTCCCGATAAGGCGCTTGAGTAATCTGGGTTATAACAGACTATAAACGAGGAGCGGATCGTAAAGGAATAAGGATTTAGCTGAATTCGTCGTTCAAATGACTTTCGGACGTACCGTTCATTTAGGTGTGCGAAAATTAGGTTTCGAGATTATTAATTCTCTCTAAGATAATATTAATTATATTACAATTCTAAAACAAATTTAGGTATTAAATTGTACCTGGAATAGAAATCGTTCAAGTGATTTTTGGATATACTGTCCACTGGAGTATGAAAATTAGGTCTCTTCATTATTAATTCTCTGTAAAACAATATCAATCATATTACATTCCCATAATAAGTTATTAACAGATTGTGGAGTTCATGCATTTATGAGAAAACTGAATGTGCAACAAATATAAACACTATATGTAAATAAATATCAAAAGCAGAGTGCATATTGCATTATTTAGTCTAGTTATTACAAAACCATACGAGGCATAAAATCATACGAATTTCTCCTTGATTGAAAAATTGCTTAATTATTCAACTTCAAGAACGATTACAGTAAATTTGGTAAATTTATGAGTAAAATTCCACGTTTCATATGTGGAATGGCATTTCCCATGAAAAGTTATCGAGACATTACGAGTTGGCCTGGAAGTCATCAAGCCGAGTTTAACTCTAGGCGGTGCAGCTGATCCTGGCAATTTATGTCTCTTCCTTTTCTGCTCGTTCGATTCTCGCAGCTTTAATTAGGGTACTCGCTGGCCAATGACCGGTTGTCATCGACAGCCGCAGTGACGATCGAGAACGGACCACCTCGGAGCTTTAACCGCACAGTTTATAATCTGCCCAACTGTACTTTCTTCTTTCTCTCTTTCCACCGCGTTCTGCTTTTTCATTGTAAATACCTATCTCGCTAGTCCGACGTTGAATAAAGACAACGACGAGTAAAATCGAAGCGATTACACGCTGCTCTATTACATAAGCGAAATACTTCCTTTTGTTCGCGATAAATCTTCACGGCCATGGCCGACGCTTACAATTAGACTCTAAGTGATTCCCAGCACGTGAGTGCGAAAAATAGAAATGATTTTTGTGCGTCAAACAAAATTGACTCTACGGCCGGTATTCAGAATATATTCTTATTCTTAAGATCGTCTCAAGCATTTGCTATCCCTGTCTATCGCATGTTTCGAGATTTTTAATAAATAAACATATCTTCCTATTATTTTGATTATTATTATTCATCACTATTATAATTAATATTATACCTTATCATTATTATTATTCTATCATACTCTATGCATAATGTATCCATGCGTGCGTGCATGCATGTAATCGTAGATCTTTGAATGGATTTTAGTTAAAGATCTTCAAGGGGAACTTGTCTGTGGAACGGAAACAAGTTGTGCGCGAGGTTTTCGTTGTTCGATAGACTCACTCGACGGACTTCAGCAGACGCGGACGAAAAAGTGGCCTGTCATGAACGGATTCCAAGTACTTCTGACGTTTCTCGGCGCAATCGCGATCATTTCGGACCCGCGATCCTCGGCAGAGGACGGCTCTGCAACTGAAAACGTATACCATGGTAGGTAAGTGCCTTCGTGGATTGCGAATCGTTCGTTTCATACCATCGGGCCATTTTCCACCGATCGAGTTCTTCGAGAGTTTCGCCATTTCGATAACGAATGTCCCGTGATTCTCGCAGACAAATCATTTTTTGGGATCGTTCCATCGCGTCCTGGAACATTTTACTCGTGGATCGTACGTGTCAGCTTGTTCGCGAACGCGAACTCGCGGCTATTCCACTTCCCAAATAAGATCAATCGTCACGATAAAAGTTTAGCGAGTGCAAGGGTTAATCCGTTTCTCGTGCAATTTAATTAAGTCGAAAAGACTGTCTTTTTCAAGTGCGGAATATTATTGAGTTTTGAACAGCGAAATTCATTTTCCGATTTCTTTAATTAAGTCTCGCTAACTTCTGGTGTCCAGATACACGAGAGACATACCAAGCGCGGAGTACCTAGTCCCGAGGAGGGTGTTCGAGGACGGTAATTTCTATAAGTACGAACTGCCGAATTTTTATGACCGCGGGGAAGTCAGCAACCGCAGGAAAAGGTCGGCCGGAGAACCGGACGCGGATAAAGTGCACCTGGTGTTACCTTTCAACGGGATCGACCACCATGTGGAGCTCACTCCGTACCACGATTTCATATCGCCGGAGATGGTGATCGAGACGCGGGGCGCCGGCCTCAGGAAGAACTTGGACGAGGCCGTGAAGTTCAAGAGGGCCCCCGATCAACAGTGCCACTACCGGGGTTTCGTCAGGGACCATAGCCCTTCTAAGGCAGCCCTGTCGCTATGCGATGGCGTGGTTAGTCACTTTCACAATTTTTTTGGACATTTTTCATCTTCATTTTGGACATTCATTGATCTTTTAAGTTTGTCGTCGTTTGAAACATAGAAGTACATCATTTTTTTACATGATGTGGGTTCAAGTATATATATTTATAATTGTATAATTTTATAGGAATATATATATATTTCTCTTTAAAGACAGGAACGAATTAGCAGTGATATTTTTCGTCTCCATCTGGAAACTCCATTGATCTTTTTTATTCTGTCGTTACTTAATCCCGTGCAGGTATATAATTCTTTTAAATATTTTCTGGGTTTAAGTACATTTATATATCTTACATATTTATGATTTTATAATTGTAAAGGGTATACATATAATTTTTCTTAAAAGGAGGAACGAATCAACAGTGAAAGCTTAAACTCAGTTCTTGTAATTAAAACTTGTTTTTTAAAAAAAAACATTAGATTAATGTTGACATGTACGTATTAGTTTTATTAAGGAAGTGCCGCATTGGTTCCGTTTTTTACGTCCAATGCCAGAGCGGCCGATAGCGTGGCACACACAATAAGCGATTAATTCTTGCCGATGATCCGTTAATTTTTTAACTTTAAAGGTTCCGCGCAATTGAACTCGTTATGATAGATCGCGTTTAATAGCCAAACGTGTCACAGTTATGAATCATCGCTGGAATAAAAGTATATTGCATCTCCCGATAGCCAATTTAGACAACGTCTCGTAGCTTTTGTTCAACACTGATCACAGCGCAGTATCGTAAAGTCACAATTTCTACTCATGATCAGTCAAAATTCGGCGTCGTTAAATACTTTTACACATGGAATTTAATATACATTCAGATAAATCAAGCAAAAAATCATTTAGAATCAATTTTTCTTGTAAAATGAATGCTCGAAGTACGCATTTCTAATGTTCGTGTTTCTATTTATTTTTAATTGAAACTCGCTGTCATTATTCATAATCATATTCATACTTTATTCGATTTTATCTACTGTGTATTTTTTCCTTCTTTTAAATATCAAAGTTTGCTATAAATGCATAAAATCCGCAGCCTGGATAGAAAAATACGCCAGTGAGTACAAATTGGGACGTTCACTTTACTAGCTTCTTTGAACCGAATTATTTTAACGTCAACGTAGTTAACATCCGTATGTTCTTCCGTGAATTCAACTGCGAGACACGTTGAGTGAACGGTTCTCGGTTTCAGTTTGACGCAATCACCATCGCGTTGCACCGAGTCCCGAGTTTCGAGACGCGATCTGCATAATTTCATCCTACCAGTGACAACGAGCCTGTTACATTACACAGGAAGGTTGTAGTAGTGGTAGTGATAGTGATATCAGATTATCACACAAATGTCTCATTTTCTGTTGAATTATTAAACCACTCTGGTCGTCGATTGAATAACATTTTCCTTCCTCGAAGACATTCGATCTATCCAAGAGTAATTTTTAAAAAATCTAAACTAATGAAATAATTAAACAAATGCTACGTTTTTACTTTGTAAGGAAATCGGCGATTATGGAGAGGCGGTCATAATTTTCTATTAAATTACTAAAGCATTCTAGTCGCTCTTTCCAATTAAATAACAATTTCTTCTCTCGAAGACATTTAAACCATCGGAAAATAATTTTTTAAAACGTAAACTAATGAAATAATTAAATAGATGCTACGTGAAAAGTGGAGAACGCAGTTTCCTACCTTTTTATTTTGTAAGGAGATTGGAGATTGTGGAGAGGCGGTCGTAATTTAAAATATCCCTTAGGTCAGGACTCCCAGGAGCATCGTTACTCGCTCGACCTAGGGAAGTTAGCCGTTACGCCGGCACCGGTCGGCCGCGGCGCGTGTGCAACGCATTACCGAATCGGTAAATTTTCACGAATATCGAGGCCTTCCTGTCGGCTAGACCACAATTTGCCGCGAATTTCCGAGAGAGCGTGCCGGCTCGCTCGCACTCGGGGGAGACGCGAAAGCGTTTTGAATTATACGATTAGAGTTCCAGCCGCGATAAATGTTGCACGCGTAAACCACGACGCTTCTAATTGGGAGCTCGCTGAATTGCAATTTCCGAGGTGTGATCGTGCGTAATTCCGCGATTTCGCCAGCTGAAAATTTCGCTAGGATTCAATCGGCTCCGCTACTGCACAAGAAATATCGCCGTTGTAGCAGTAAATTAAGCGTTCATCGGTTAAAATGCATAAATTTTTATAGAACCCTTAATTCAATTCGCTTTGCGTCGAATTGAGAAAAATTGTTTTAATGGATTAAACGTCGACGTTATCTGTAGCAACGACGTGGAACGTGTTTAAATTGGGTTCATGGGAGAAAGAGTTCATTTCGCCTGAGTTTCGATATGTCCTCTCTTTGCGATAAACGTTGATTAACGCGTAGCCGATAAACGTGGATCGCGTGCAGGTCGGTTACATGCAAACTAATCACGGGCGGTACTTCATCGAGCCAGCAAACGAAGCCCAACCGCAGCATGATGGCCAGCACGTTCACATCGCGTACAAGCGAGAGGCACCTCACGAGATCAGCGCAGATCGAAACGATACCGCCAAGAAGTTTTGCGGAACCGACGGTTAGTAATTAACAAACCGTATACAAAATTATATGAATAACATAACGATCGTTCTTCGACAAATGAAAGACTGGTTTTTAATGATACGCTTTTTAAGGTTGCATGAACCCTTAAGATCTCTATGAAAAATGTAAGAACTATGATAAAAAGCTATGTCTAATATTTAAAGCGATAAACTTTTAGGGAAAATTTCGAAGTCTTTCTTTAAGTAGCAGGGAATTTTTAATGTATAATTTCTAATATTTTAATACATGATTTTGGCACTTTTCGATTGGATTGTACCTGACTTACAACTGTTTACATTAATTACAAGTCTTATATTTCTTACTTTTTACTGTGCATCTTAAATAATTAGACTGCGGATTTCATGCATTTATAGAGAAATTATAATTCGACATTAAATGATAATTATTATGAATGACAAGGAATTATAATTCCTGTATATAACATTTCTCATTAATCTTTCTTACTCACAATAATTATCATTGAATGTCAAGAAGCGAAATATCAAAAGTGAAATAAAAATTGTTAAAATTTCAATACTTTGTTATCGTTTTTATTTGAGGGCTCATACAACCTTAAGTTCTGACGATAGTTTAGTCGACGACGTTTAGTTTTCTCAATAAAAAATCGTAAAGGGAAGACCTAAGGAGTAAATTATTTTAATTTGAAGTTTGAATCGTAGAACTGATATTCATGGAGTTTCGTTTTACTCGGGAATAGAGAACTGGGAGGCGGCGTGGGCGGAACAGTTAGCAAAGCGAGCGAAACGGTTAATGGAAGCGAATCCAGCCGATGCAAAGGGGAGTCTCTTTGGTACCCACAGCATTCATCGGTATATAGAAATAGGATTGGTTGCGGATAGACGGTTCCTCGATTTTTACAACAACACTAATTACGAGCAGTATCTGCTGACAATTATGAACATGGTGGCGGACTTTTATCACGACAAGTCCATCGGGAATCAAATCGAGGTGGTCGTCGTTCGCATGATATATTTGGAGAAGGAGAAGGAAGAGGTAATACGAAATTGATGGTAAAATATAGAGACGTGACTATGTGAAGCTATTTAACATAATGCTGAGTATCCTAGCGTTAATTCTGATATTCGAGGTATTTTATCTAGACGGTTTTTCCGTAGATAGATTTACTCATTAGTCCCGCGGCCGAGGATACGTTACATAGTTTTATGGCGTGGGCTAAGAAGATAAATCCCAAGGATCATACTCATCCTAATCACTTCGACGTAGCAGTCCTTGTGACTAGGTACTCATGTATTATATTTACATACATACATATACATATACAGTCGATCCCATTAGTATTCGTACCCATTTCTAACTTGAGTATTTATTTATTTATTAATTTAGTTAATTATACTGGCAAATATTTTTCTTTATAATGGGCTTAAATATAATTCAATCTTATTATTATAACTAATAACTAAAATAAGAAGAAATTATCTTTAAAATATTGAACCAAGTAATTCTTAATTTTCTTTAAGTATGTTAGAAGGCTCAGTTATAATAAACTATTATGTGTAACAAAAAATTTAAAGAAATTGCTGTTCATCTTTGCTATTCATTTAAATGAGACACTTTAATAAAACTTTATTAAAACTGAAGAATTTAGCTTTGAAATTGTCTGTGTACGTATTATAGGTATGATATTTGCTCGAGAGGAACGAACTGCGATCTGATGGGTCTGGCATCTGTGGCAGCCGCCTGCGATCCAGACAGATCAGCCGCGATCAACGAAGACAGTGGCCTGTTGCTCGGAATCGTAGTTGCCCACGAAGTTGGTCACGTGTACTTGTCCATGCACGTTTCTTTGCGAATCTTAATCCCTTCGCTCTTTACCCATTCGTCTAAGTCTCCCCCACTAGAGACTCGCAATAATTATCAATGTCATTTAATAAACAAATTATGATAAAAGTTCAATTTAGGGTCCATAAAAACTCGTGGAACTGTCTACTGTTTCCGCTGACTCGTTGACAGCGAAGGGATTAATAAAGACGGGAATCGAGATGAATTTCTTCTCGGAAACTATTCGATTGTCAGTGTTCCGCGATTAGTAAATGGAAAAATATGATTTGATAAACCATTGGTTTCCAGGATGGGCTGTTCGCACGACCAGGAGGACATAAGCGGGTGTAAGCCCAAGGACACGGACGACAGTTACTTCCTCATGTCGCCGATCGTGTACATCTATTCAATCCGATGGTCGCCCTGCAGCAGGAAATACGTTACCGATTTCCTCCAGTAAATTCACTTGTCTGTTCGTTTCGTTATTTCGTGCTCGATCGATGATTGAAAGGATCCAATCGATCGATTAGGAGTGGCCTCGGCGAGTGTCTGAACGACGATCCGAGAAATCCGCCGGAGAGGTTCAAATATCCGAACATGCTGGCGGGCGCGATGTATGACGGCGATTTTCAGTGCCAAATGACGTTCCCTGGCTCGCAGCATTGCCTAATGAGTCGAGTAAATCACGATTCTCTTCTATTTCGGATAATAACCTTCTGATCTTCATCTCCAGTGTCCCTGTATTCATGGTATAACCGTGAACAGGACGATTATTAGTCTGCGGTCTTTTATGCAAATTCATATTTTTTTTAACATATATCAAAGTATATAATTCATTTGTATAGATTTCTCATTTGCATAATTTTATACTATGCGATGTATATTAATTGTTTTATCATCCCCTCCACAGTTGTACCATCAACACTAGGACACCCTATAGATAAATGATCAACTACGGTATAAATCATTATTATACTTAAATTGTTTATATTACTTATCAGATATTAATTTATATTAGTTTGTTAATAATATTACTAACGTTATTTATCAAAGTAAATCATTATATTTCAATTAGTACTTCATTTATTGTTAGTGTGAAATCAATTAGTACTTCATTTATTGTTAGTGTGAAATTAATTCGATTATTTCCTGAAATAAATGATTCATGTTCCCACTGCGAATGTACGTATCGTATTTTGCAGCTCCAAGTCTGCGACAAACTCTGGTGCCAGGTTAACGAGACGTGCCTATCGCAAGGCCAACCGATGGCTGAAGGGTCCATGTGCGGCGAGAAGAAGGTACGTAAAGCGCTCAGCCGTACTATGTCACGCGATTCATCACTAATTTAAAAGTGTGAGACGCGCAATAACGCAAAGAACGCGCGCGTGTCCAGTGGTGCATCCGGAAGAAATGCGTGGACCGAGGCACGCGGCCGGCAGCGGTACACGGCGGATGGGGCACGTGGGGACCCATGGGCAAATGCATCTCGGAAACTATTCGATTGTCAGTGTTCCGCGATTAGTAAATGGAAAAATATGATTTGATAAACCATTGGTTTCCAGGATGGGCTGTTCGCACGACCAGGAGGACATAAGCGGGTGTAAGCCCAAGGACACGGACGACAGTTACTTCCTCATGTCGCCGATCGTGTACATCTATTCAATCCGATGGTCGCCCTGCAGCAGGAAATACGTTACCGATTTCCTCCAGTAAATTCACTTGTCTGTTCGTTTCGTTATTTCGTGCTCGATCGATGATTGAAAGGATCCAATCGATCGATTAGGAGTGGCCTCGGCGAGTGTCTGAACGACGATCCGAGAAATCCGCCGGAGAGGTTCAAATATCCGAACATGCTGGCGGGCGCGATGTATGACGGCGATTTTCAGTGCCAAATGACGTTCCCTGGCTCGCAGCATTGCCTAATGAGTCGAGTAAATCACGATTCTCTTCTATTTCGGATAATAACCTTCTGATCTTCATCTCCAGTGTCCCTGTATTCATGGTATAACCGTGAACAGGACGATTATTAGTCTGCGGTCTTTTATGCAAATTCATATTTTTTTTAACATATATCAAAGTATATAATTCATTTGTATAGATTTCTCATTTGCATAATTTTATACTATGCGATGTATATTAATTGTTTTATCATCCCCTCCACAGTTGTACCATCAACACTAGGACACCCTATAGATAAATGATCAACTACGGTATAAATCATTATTATACTTAAATTGTTTATATTACTTATCAGATATTAATTTATATTAGTTTGTTAATAATATTACTAACGTTATTTATCAAAGTAAATCATTATATTTCAATTAGTACTTCATTTATTGTTAGTGTGAAATCAATTAGTACTTCATTTATTGTTAGTGTGAAATTAATTCGATTATTTCCTGAAATAAATGATTCATGTTCCCACTGCGAATGTACGTATCGTATTTTGCAGCTCCAAGTCTGCGACAAACTCTGGTGCCAGGTTAACGAGACGTGCCTATCGCAAGGCCAACCGATGGCTGAAGGGTCCATGTGCGGCGAGAAGAAGGTACGTAAAGCGCTCAGCCGTACTATGTCACGCGATTCATCACTAATTTAAAAGTGTGAGACGCGCAATAACGCAAAGAACGCGCGCGTGTCCAGTGGTGCATCCGGAAGAAATGCGTGGACCGAGGCACGCGGCCGGCAGCGGTACACGGCGGATGGGGCACGTGGGGACCCATGGGCAAATGCAGCAGAACCTGCGGCGGAGGTTTGAAGTCTTCTGAAAGGGAATGCGACAATCCACCACCCTCCAACGGTGGCAGATACTGCTTGGGAGAAAGGAAGAAGGTGACCATCTGCAACACCACGGTGAATTCCATTATTCTTTATACTATTTATTCGATACGAACTGTTCTGTGTATAAAATTTCTGAGATTCACGTTCTTTGCCTTGCGGCGGCTTCCGCAGCCACTGTTCTGATGGAGAAACGATTATATTCGCTTTATTCTATAGCCCTGTCCTGCCGACAAGCCGTCGTTCCGCGCGGTGCAGTGCAGCCATTATAACAACCTGAAGGTTTTAAGCGACAACGAACTACACACGTGGACGCCGTACCTCGACTTTTCGGTCAAGGACCCGTGCAAATTGTATTGCTTGAACGAGAAGAAGGTTCTAGTCGAGCTGAACAGCGTCGCCAACGACACGACCCCGTGTAAACCCGGCACTAACTACATGTGCATCTTCGGCGTGTGCAGGGTGAGATATCAAACGCTTTTCACTTCTAGTGTTAAGGATGATAATTTATAGGTCTGTTTGAACGACAATAGACGATAATGAACATGTAATATTAACATATGGTTGTCGAGTTATGTAGTTTTACGTGATCTGTCAACTGAGCGTGGGTCACGTAATAAACTTGCAATGGAGAGGGTGTCGTTCGCGGCACAATGTACCTGCATATGATACCTGTGGTAATATTACGACATTATTATAATAGAGACGACAAAACACCGTTCTGTAAAGATAAATAAAGAATATTGTAAATCGTGCCTGCATATGTNATATTAATAGAGTAAATTATGCGAGTTCATTATATGTGTATGATATTACAGAAAGTGGGATGCGATTGGATTCTGGACTCGAATGCCGTCGATGACAAATGCGGCGTCTGCAAGGGTGATGGTACCAAATGCAAACAAATAAAGGGTGATTATACTGAGACGAACGTCCCCTCGAGTAAGTTCTGCTTACAACATAGGAAGCCAATATGTATAAATGGAAATCGTGTGATTTATATTTCTGTCTCAATGATTCAATTTGTGTTAATGATTCATGCGTGTATGTTTATTGTCAGCGTACATGAAGGTAGTTACTATTCCTAAGGGGGCTCGAAGCATACGAGTGTGGGAAGCGAAGCCTAACACCAACGTGTTAGCAGTGAAACCCGAAAAGGGCTCCGACTATTGCATCAATGGAAATCTGTAATTATTTGATTATTTAGTATTTATGATGATTAAATAATTTATGACGTTTCTAAATATTCATTTCTTTTTACCTTTTATTAATTTTTTAATAAAATATTCGTTTTCTTCAAGTACGGTGAACCCGGTTTCTTTAGAACATCACTTATTCCGTTTAAATAAGTTATTATCTACTTCAACGTCTTTAAAAAAAATTGACTAGAGAATTTCTTAAAGAACGAAACGACGTTTCATATGCACCACTTTAATTAACATTCTTTACCTTTAAAATATTAAAGATTGCTAACCTATCGAAAGTAGAAACCTGTCTAGCTACAATTATAGTGATTAGATAGATTACCATTGATTGCAGGAGGATAAACAGAGCCGGTGATTACACGTGCGCAAAGTCTATGCTCATTTATCTCTATCCCCAGCCGGACAAGGAAGAAATCGAAATGAAGGGACCTATAGCTGAGGACATTCGCATAGAGGTACGCAGTAATCGCTTTAATCACATGTTCGTTAAAAAGGACATAAAATATGAGCGTAGTACAAATAGAAATACGTGTGCACTATATTAGGTATTGAATGTAGTATACGTTGAAACACTTTGGAAGCAATAATAATTGATTCCTCGTGACGATTTTAGTACGCGTTCTTGAATAGGGCCAGCAATCCTGGAATTCATTACGAGTATTACGTGATGTCGACCGATCCGTCACACACGCCGAAATACTTGTGGGATTACGTAGATTGGTCTGCGTGCACTGCTAAATGTGGCGGGGGAACAAAGGTAATTTCAGTGTATCTAAATTGATTTAATCACACGTATCGGGGGCCTGGTTATTATCACCGTTTGGGAAACAATGCCTAATACAACGGTATTATGATTTCGATGATGCTGACCAATAAGCTATTGCTTAATCAATTGCTTAATTTTCTGATCGCGTCGCATTTCAAGACTTAATAACCAGTGACTCGTGAGGTAGTCAAAATATGGAAATTAAATAAAATATTCCTTTAAATACATTCTGTTCCTTTTTATAAATGTGAAATGTACATTAAATAATTGTAGAAATACTTCGTCACGGGTGTCATTTTAGATTTCGGAAGCGAAGTGCATCGAGGAGAGTGGTGGAGAGGTGAGTCCTAATTACTGCGATGGCAAACCGCGGCCGTATTATTATGTACAATTATATCTAATATGACGCGACTTAATTAATTGCATGAGGTATGCATTAAATTAAGGGCATCATCAGTGATCGAATAAGAACACAAATGCGTAAATTATTAAAGTAATTTGCTATGGTCGAAGGTGGCGGGTGAGCCAATGGAGCAAGTGCAGCGCCTGTGACGGAAAGAAAGGATTCAGGCATCGGAAAGTTCAATGCATCCGACCGCCGGCGCGTTCCGGCGGAGACGACGTTCAAGCGAATCCGGACGCGTGCAAAGGTCGCGTGCCGAGGCAGAAGGAAGAATGCACAGGTGAGGGAACCTTTATCTCCGGATAAATGTCATTAGCCGCGCGAACCGATTTTATTTAGTTCAGCAAGATAATTTCCTCGCGCTATTTTAAGACGCGGACAATCAATCTCTCAAATATTTCCCTCGTCCATTAATCATCGACAGTTTAATTGGCGCGTCACTCACGCGCGTGCAGTCATTCACGCGCGCGAAACCCATTTGCCGGTTATTTATTGCTTGCGCTCCGCTAAATTACTAGAAATTATATTTTGATCGAATACAACTTTTTTTTTATAGTCTGATCAATAGGTTCCATCAATCCGGGTATTTCTGAAATATTTATTTCATACCAAACATTATTACAGTTCAAAGAGAACGTAGCCTCTATTAAATTTCAATTTATTTATTTATTGATTGATTTATTTATTTAATTATATTGGCAAATAGATTTTTAACAGATATAATACAATCTTATAATTATAATTAATAACTAAAACAAAAAATAAAAGTCTGTTCTTAGAAAGAACGGTTTAAGCCTGCGCTTAATGACATCCATTGAATTATTAATATGAGATCCGCAGATTTATTTTTATAATTTCTCTTGCAACGGAATTGGGCTGACTACACCTCGTTATGTATCTTTGATAGAGAGTTCGCCAAAAATTTTAATCGCCAATAACGTCGCCTTCCTTCAACAGGTCAGAGACCGTGCAAGAAGACCTGTCCAAAGAAGACTCGAAACGCGTTGAAGGCAGCCAAGGCGAAAAAGTCGTTGTCTGCGATAGAGCAAGCTAAGATAATCGATAAGTTCGTGGACTTGAGTCTGGCCCACTATTTAGAAAAATCGTACGGCGCGTCTCGGGACGCCGGAAACGAGGCAGACACCGTAGACTTCTTGCAGCTGCTTCGCGACTGGTCGCTCTGGGACGAGGACAAGAAGAAGCGGGCTGTTTGCGATCGGAACCATACCAGCCAGAGCAGATTCACCACGCCGAAGCCGGGAACGATCATCAAGGACTCTGTCCCAGTCGAGAACGTGGTGCTGATGGAAGTGCCTATTATAGAGGACAGCCTAAGAATGAATCTGTCGGACAGAGCGTTCCAAGAAAGCGGAGATCTGGTCGGTGTCGGTATCGATATGTCGCGTGTAAAAATATACAATGGTTCGGAAGCTGTCAGCAGGATAGAGGAGGTGCAGGGCCATCAGACGGTCCCATCGACTCCCGCTGGACAGGACGGGTCGTCGTTAGCCAAGGTCGTGAAACGGTGAAAATTAGCAAGTGCTTTCTATTTGGAAGAAATAACCAGAAACGATAATTTCTTTCCCACTTTTCACACTGCTTTCCCATACTTTCAAAAGGAGCACGACGGTTTAGATATACAACAAATGCATACACGAAATCGATGGTTGACTAATCGACGTTTATTTGATACTATAATGTTACAGACCATCCAGTTGTACTATTGTAGAAGTATTTAGAAATATGAAATATAGATAAGCCCTTAGTTTATGGCTATTTAAATATCTGTGTCTTTTTATTAATCTTAAAGATGGATTATTAAAAAGCCGTTTCACCTTGACGGTATTTTAATACTGTCGATTATTATGGAAGTATTTAGAAATATGAAATATAGATAAGTCCTTATTTTATGGCTATTTAAATATTTTCATTAATTTCACTAAAGATAGATTATTGAAAGGTCGATTCACCTTGACGATACTTTAATACTGGAGGACCGTGATTTGTTACGAAATTACTTCAAGCTCGTCCGATTGGTATTGCAAATTCTAAGCCACGATCAATCACTCAGTGTCACCGGTTTAATTAACCGAAGAGACGCAACCTTCTCGGCGGTACATTATTATGTATGTATACTTTAATTTAACGCGTCTGGCGATCCGGTGAACTTTTACGTCATCCAAGACGATTTTTCAACGCGACGCCTGCGTCCTGTTGAATCTTCTCTATGTACCTGACTGCGTCCATCCCGACCAAAGTGAATTCCGTGCTGTTGCCCGGGGGCTGGGGCTGGAAATCCTTCGGAAAGTTCACGACGTTGTTCTCCTCATCGCGTTCCAAAATAATAGTCAGCCTTAAATTGTTCACGTCTTCTTTGTCGATCACCATTTCGCTTTCCCTTATATCTCGACGGTCCCTTAACTCCTTCTTCCCCCTTGTACAAGTCCGCGATCCCTTCACTGATAAATATTTATCATTCAAATCAGGTATTTAACGTTTCAGTATATAAAATTAGTAAATCGAATGAAGACGCTTGTAGGCAACGTTGTTATATAGTTATTAAAGTTATACGCTCGATCGAGAACGTCTTGCCTTGACAAAGTGTCAAGAAGTTAAAACCGTTGCGGAGGAAGGAGGACGTCGTTAAAACTTCCAGCAAAGTATCGTTAAACAGCAGATCGTTACGAGATTATATCAGTCAAGTGTCCCGGTCTCCGGACGGAAACATTGTCGCAAATAAAATCGTTTTACTCCGGGTGTTGCGTTCGTTCGAATATCTGTCCGATGGTATCTTTTACTATCGATCGCGCGCGGAGGGGAAGGGAAAGAAAGAACACGAGTACTACTTTTGTTGCTCCGATTGGGAATCGGTGGTTCGGCGCCGGGTTGTCGTTTCTCCCGGCCTGTGCAGAATTCTTGTTCCTTCGGCTTCGGTCCTTGACAGTAGCTGTCAGCGATAATATCTACATCCTGCTCCGAGTGCCCGACGGGACGTACGCACTTGACGGTGCGTCTCCTCTCGCATCCGATCACGCAGGACGTACACCCCTGCCAGTCACTGATCATCCATCTGCGACCAACGAGATTTAGTGATGCTTCTTGGTATAGACTATTCACGTTCTTTTTATGCAGTATTGCGTCTTCATAATCACGGAGGATTAGTATTAGTACGCGCCTAAAACGAGACTAACGAGATTTAATGATACTTTTTGGTCAAAGAATTGCGTTTTCGCAAAAACTTTTCTAAGAAGTAAAATTTCAACGTTTTTTGCTGTATTTTATCGATAACCACGAAAGAATAGTGGAAAATATGGGACTACACTTTTCGTTCTTGAATAAGAAGTTTTCTAGATCGTCAACTGTCTCCTTGACGAGACAAAAGTCTGTTATACTCTGGTCTTGATTTCATTCAAAACAATCTCTTTTGGGTAGAAAATCGCTTTTAAACAAAGACAATGTAATTACGATTCATCTATGTTCTAAATAAAAATCTGTTAGCAAAACCCTCACGATAAAACATCAGTTCGTCAGAAATGCCCTGCCTCTGCCTATTTACAATTCTAATAATGTGCTTAAGTCTTCAAGATTGGTATTATGCTCCTCCGGGCGGGACATAATATATCTAGGATTCAGGTTGTAGCAAATAAATAATAATGAACACTCCCTTCGTACATGTTTGGACACAGTGCATAGAATCAGCTACCGGGTTCTATAGCGCGATCACATTAATTGAAAGTCTCGTAGAGTTGAATGGACACGGGAACTAGGATATCGTGATAAGAAATTCAATTCAACGCCCTGTCCGTAGTTTCTTAATTAAAAATTTTCCTTAACGAAGGCGACGCGCGTGATCTAACCTCGGGACGCACGCTGCCCGATAACACGATTTCACTTTTTCCTCCGGCTTCGGTATGTTCTTGCAGAAGATCTCGTCAACGATCCCGGCGAGTTTCTCCAAGCAACGAGGTTTAGAAATCTGTTCACCGGGCCCGCAATTCGCGCTGCACTCCTCCCACGAGACGAAGTCCCACGAGAATTCCGGTCTACGAGGATTCTTCTCTTTCACGCCGAACGAATACTTCACCGTCACCTTTTCTTTCGGCAAAATCTGCATACGTATGCAGTGTATAAAACCTCAATGAAACTGCTTACAAGATAAAATCATGTCAAGCTCGAATACTATCTTTTTTTTTCGAAGAAATTGTTTCATTGAAAAACAGATGAGAGAGGAAGACATCTAAAGGGAATGTCCCAATTTCTACTGTTTCCATCATTTTTTCTTTTGGCAGAATCTACGTACTCAGTGTGTACAATCTACTACTATTAAAATAATAA